AAGGATTCTATGATTCTATGAATTGTTCTTTAATGTGATATCTTCATGCTTCCCTAGATTTCTCAGTGCTGAAATTATTTCTTACTTAGTAAACAATACTTGTTAGTGAATCTTTGTTGTTTTGGTACTTAGGAGCTTTTGTTTTGATTAGGATGTCTTCTAATAGCAGAGTTCAAGATCAAATGTTGACCTTCATAGCCATAGTTCAAAGTCATCTGATGCAGTCATCGTGTCACAAGTCTTTAGCCTATTCAGCACACTCAATTTGTTGTAAATACTGCTTTGGTAGAAATGTGGCCAAGTTTTCCTGAGGGTCACATACACAAGAGTTAGACTTCTGTGCTCTAGCTTTCACTTCTGCCTGAGATAAGTTCACTCCATCAGAGATCTTTGTGGAAGTAATGGTGCCTGAAATCCTGCATCAATAATTCCAGGTTTCTGAGAGGGACAGCATGAACTAATCATATTCTGACAGTTGATTGGTAATTGTCCTCCTAGGAGAGGTGGCTGGTTCTTCAGAATACAGAGTCAAAAATGTTGTGTTTGCCATTTGAGTACGTTAAATCATTAATTGAAACTGTGGTTTGGTATAAGAGCAGTAACAAAAAGATGAACTTTTTCTACTGGGGCTCATTTACCTGTGATAATATCAAGTTTTGGGCAGGCTATTTTTAAAAGCAGGCTATTAGCAACTTCTCTGATCTGCTTCTTGTTGCTGCAGGGGATGCTTAAAAAACTTTGGTACCATTCAGTGGTGTTTGTGTTTCTTGTGAAATGGTATAGTGTCTTAGGAATATTTTCTAAACAGTGCATTGGGAGTAACTGGGGATATTTATCCAGTCAGTTTCTCAGACACAAAGGTTTTTTAAGGTAAAAGTCAGATTTGTCTTGCAAAGCAAATAACTTGGCAAAGAGCTGGAAGGCAGCAACTGAACTCTCTCAGTCTGTAATTCTATTAGTTCTGTTCCTCACCAAGAAAGAACTCTTTTTTTTTTTTTTTTAATCATGGACAAAGAGTAGTTTCCTCAGCTTCCTAAAGAGGGATTTTCTTCTGTCCTCAAGTAAAGCCATTATCTGTGATTTTATAAGAATTTCTAAAATTCATGCCATATAGCTGTACAATCTTACTTTGGTATAGTTCTTTTCCTGAGTTTGCTAAGACCCTCTATTTTCATGCTGTTACAGCAAACAGGGTGATTTTCAGTAAAGCTGGGAAGCTCCCTTCCCTCCCCTGCTTCCCTCCTACTATCAGTGGCAAGGAGATAGTAACTTTTGCTTCACTCTTCCAGGAAACCTGCTTGTAAACAGATGTATTTTGCTCCTACCCATTGGTCAGCTTTTACTGGGAATGCAAACAAACTGGTTTTGCTATTTTTATGCTCAATAGATGGGCAACTTCTGCTGGAGTGACATTTGCTTGACAAATAGGAGTTCAGTGTAACATGGTGCCTTCCTACACAACTATTTGTCCCTCTGACCTGTTTGGACTATTCATCTGTTTTTTGAACTGTGTTTTTTCAGAAAACTTTAAACATCACATTTAATTGCATGTGTATTTTTACCATAAACATTGTTCTTCCCAAAATGAGGAAGGTATTTGGGTTTGAACTGACCATGTAAAGATAAAATCATAATGGATTTCAGACTGACTGATAAGGATTAGTGACTGTATGAAGCTGATTATCTTCAGTGAGGTTTATCTCAATGAATAATGTGTTTAACATTCAGAAGGAACTGAAGAAACAGGTAAAATAACCTGTGAAGAAGAATTAGACTAAGTTGATACTTCTGTGGGAATAGTTCCTTAGCTAGTTCACAATTCTGTAGTGAGGAAGGGTGGGGAATATGGAATAAAGGTCTGATCAGGTGATGTTAAAGCAGCTTTCTTAAAATATACATAGGAAATGGGGGAGAAAAGTGGAAAATGGTACAAAATGAGGGTTACATAATCTAGATTGTTGGCAAACAGGAGCTGATGTTATTAATGAAATATATGTGGTGAGAAGCCCTGAGAATAAGGGGAAGGTCATGTACGTTAGAACTAAAGAGAGATCCTACCAATTTTTAAGTGACACTAAGGATGTATATTTACTATACATGTATATTTATTATACATGCTTAGTATATCTGATACATGGATATACATGTATAGAAGTCTGCCAGCTTTTTTAAATGCCATAGGCTGTGATAATAATCAATGGACATTAAATTTAACAAATCTTGGAATGCTGAGAAAATTCCATTGGATCAGGAGAATGCTGTTACTGGGTTACCACTCAAAGAAACAATAAAGCCAACAAAGTACTATGCTTCAACCTGCTGATATGATCAGAAGCTCTTTTTATCCTAGACAGGACTGTATGTATGCCAGACAAAAGGTATAAGAGCTTAATTTATAGTCCTTAGAGGAAATTGATGTTGATAATTCTGGAAAAAGCATCTGATGTTGCTTGGGCTTATCCAGCACTGCCAGTCTGGTTTTTATGCTCTTTCTGAAATCCTGACTGATGGTCATGGGGCAGGTGGAGTGCTGCCTCTGTAGAATGAAGGGTATGTACAGCCAGGGATCCTGGGAGCAACAGGGAAGAGAATATTTGCTTTCAAACAGCTCCCAAGCACTTTCTGTGGTAAGGTTAGTAACTGAAATGTGCATTGTATGGGTTGGATAAATTCTGGAAGAAGATGGCTGGATGGTTTCCAGCTCTAGCCCATAGCCTCAGCATTGATCTCTCTAAATCATCCTCTTGCAGTAACAATACAGCAATTAGTGGTCTGGGGAAACTGTTGGCATCTTCATCAGTTTCTTGAAAAAGTTATGCGTTCATCTTATTTCCAGTTTTGCAGAAAGAAAATTCATAATAAAAATGAAAACATTTTGTGTTGTATTAATCAGATGTGTTGCAAATGCTCTAATATCAGAATCTGGAATACCAACAGAGTGGGATTAGTTTGTAAAATTAGTCAAACAGTATAAGTTGAAAATATAGAGTGTGTCATTGCCCATTTGGAAGTCAAGGTCAAGTGAACAGAGTTTAGAATACAGAACATGAAATGAAAGAGTTGGCTTTTTAAAATTTATAACTTTTGAGAGTTATGTGATAACTCTCAAATTATTGATGTACTTTTTGAGCTCGAGCAGTCCTGTTGAATATTATAACTCACTGTGAAACCACACATGCTCTTGTTTTGTACTTTTAAAATTGATAATGCTAATGTATGAATAGTAAAATATTTATCTGCTTACTTTTTCTTCTTTTTTTTTTTTTATTTTGCTTTTAAAAGCAAAAGTTGTTAAAGGCACAGTTCAGGGGCATTTGCAGCAAACGATTATTTTCTGTTTTTGTGTTTTCTGATTTGGTACCTGTATTATTGCCATTGTGATTTTCTGATACTGAAGACACTTCAAACTGGATGGCAACACAGTTTATCCATCTCAGTGTATTTTAGATACTACTATTACTAGAGAGAGGGCAATTAGAAAATAAGTGTAATAGTACAATATCTCTTCAATCTAACCATGCTTTATGCATAGGGTCTTGTCTGACCCTGCCCAATTCCCATCAGAGGGAAGATGCTCTTGCATATAACGTCTGATAGCTTTTTCAGAAAGAGGCAGATACTGGCAGAAATCATGGAGTAAGTGGGTATTCCATAAATTGATATATGTTGTGAATGGAGGTGGAAAGTAAGAGTAATTTTTAGTATGCTTATAGGAGTAGGGAGGGAGAATGGAGATATAACAGCATTTAAAGGAGAGTGCTTAAAAAAGAGGAAGGCTGGTGAGCAGTGCAGCACTGCCTAGCTCTGTGGAAAGGGATCATTAAAATCAGGTAAGCAACCCAAGATGTTCACTTCTTACCATTTTATTCAGTTAAATCTAACAAGCCTTGAAAAACCATTCCATCAGATTGAACTGCTGGCAACAGAGATGCAGAATGTACCTTTTTGCGGTAATTCTGTAGTGTGTTTTGGGGTAAGGATGCCTGTAACCTATTTGTGTACATGCTTACTGCCCCTTAGTGAAGAGTTAAACCTGCCTTCTGCTGATATAGGCAGGCCTATGTCATAGAGACAGAGCTTGTTAACATCTTAAATAAAGGTAACATACACTTTGCTCCTCTGAGTACTGGAAAAGTCTGGAGTGTGTTGTGCTGTAGTAAGAGATGTGAAAAGCTGGTGAATGGGGCTCAGATTTTGAAAGGAGTTTCAGGGAGTGCTGTGTTCAGTTCTCCATTTGAGCTTTATTTAAAATAAAAGTTCCGACTCCCTCTGGCACCTGTTTAAAAACAAACTTCTGCTTGATGACAGGGGATGATCTTCCTGTGTTTAGACTGCTCAGAATAAAGGCTCAATCACTGTAAGAATTACCTATTTAACACTTTGAGTCTTTGTATATATAGGCTGTGGTAGGAAAAATTATAATGTTTATTAATGAAGTAGTATTTCAAAGAAAGTGTATGATACACTTAGTGCAATCAGTCTGAAAAATGTATTAGACTCACTATGGAAATCTGGAAGAAAAATACGAGAAATCTTACAGAGCAAATTTCAGAGGCAGAAGTTGTGCAGTTAGCACTTCTCCCATCCTCTCAAATTCTGCAGTGTTTGGGAATTGTAGAATAGAATTTCTTTGAAACTCCTGGTAGGAGCAGATGGAGTTCTTTTCCAAAGTTTTATAACAGGATGGCGATTTCCAGTGAGATTCAGTTGAATTCTGAGCTGGCGTAAGTGGGTTTAATGCAGAGCATTGCATTATTTAGTATTGTTTCCTGGCGTGAGGTGTTTTGAAGTCTGCAGAGATCTACGCTGTATTAAAAATAGAAATGAATGAAAAAATATGGAGTGGTTGCATAGGAAATGCTGTTTAAGCAGTTAATATTGCTTAGAGGTATTTAAAGGTTGGTGATATTAAATGTTTATGTGTTGCAGAGAAACTTGAATGTTACAACTTCTGCATTAATTTACTATGTGTCTGAAGTCCAGGGAGAGAGGTTTAACACTGGGGGCCTTTTTCATTAGGACATGAAGAAGGGCATGAATATGTTGTATGAAGGACACTTGGGAGCCCCAGGAACATGCAGCTGGAGGCTGCCTCCGTTTCCCATATGGACCTGGGGGTCATCACCCATCATAAGTGGGACTGAGCAAAGGCTGGAGACTGTTAGAGGAGCTTTAGCTGTAAAGCACCTAGCTCATCTTGTAAAATAACCCTAAAAATTATTCATTACACTCATGATGGGTTATTATCTTTAAAAAGCCGCTGATCAATAGCATACTGCAATGAGGCCTTTCCCCTGACATTCCTGGAGATAAAGCTGTGAAATCCTGGTCAAGTGTTATGTGTAGTTGACTGTGCTCAGATAGTTACTGCTGGGTGTTATATGCTGCAAACTTAGTACAGTGATGTATTAGACCCTGCTTATTCTTTAAAAATAGAATATTCCTTCTAGGTGTATGTACAGGTAAAGATGGTCGTATTGATCTGTGAAAATTAAAGTGAAACTTGGAAGAAAAGAAGTAGAGCTTTGGGAGTGAAGTAGTTGTCATGTGCATGTATTTATATTTCAGCCACGTTGGTGTGTGTTAGAAAAGTTCAGTGTTAAGATGTAGCAGCTAATGTTTGTTTCCTGAATCCTTTACATTGTTCTGACCTTTCAGATATGCGTGTGACCTAAATCTTTCATGAGCTCATGCATTTATTATTATTCCTTTGAAATACCTGGCAGTGTATTAAACTTGTAAAATATTATCTATCATGAAACCTACTAGAATGATATCTTGGTTATTTTAGGAAGCATTCTTAGGCAAGCTAATATGCTTAGAGAAATTACCCCTTCAGCTCTGATACAAGTTACAATTTTTATCTCTTTAAATAATACATTTTGAACTAGATTTAGATGACTAAACTGGGATTCATTTCTCAGAGCTGCTTCTAGTGCTTGTGTCTCTCTTCCTTCCCTCAGCATTCCCCCCTGCAAATGTTTTCCCAACCATGCTCATCAAAAAGCCTAAACCAGAATGGGAGCAAGCGTGCTGCATAAATTGTTAGTGACGAGCAGATGTAGCTCCTCTGATCAGTCCCACCTAACAGTGGGGGGGCACTAAAACATCTCACACTCCTTGCTGCACTTTGGAGCTTTTGGCTTTCTAAGTAGCATCTTCTCCCTTCCCATGCTTTAAACATCAGTGACAACAGCAGCGGAGAGTTTTCCCAGCAGTGTACAGGCAAAAGAAAAGTGCAGTAGTCATTCAGGTCACCCAGGAATTTAATTTTTGTTTTCTTTTTGATGAGGTGATTAAAAATGCCTAAGTATAAAAATACAAAATCGTATTTCTTCTCTTCAGAAATAGGATTACCTTCTCAGCTAAACATCAAACACTTTTGAATCTGTTCATGTAACCACAGACTCAAGGTTTCAGTCTCTCAAGAAAATAAAAGAAAATAAAACTGTAGTATCTCTTCAGCTTGTATTGTAGCCTGTGGTCCATGGCCCTTTGAAAGCATCCAGTTAAGGCAGTGTAGGAGTCTGTTGCTTCAGGAATTGTGATGAATTTGTGGAAGTGTAGAAGCACTATGATGTTCTGCCAATACAGAAACCATGTTTTTTTCTGTCCAATAATTGTGTGTGTCAAAATGTACTCCATGGAGAATTGTCTGGATCTTTACCATTCTTTTATTGTGGTATAAAACAATGAGAAATGGAAGATAGTAATGAAGAGTTAGTTAACATAGCTTCATAGTATCTTGAGATAAGGCTGTTGCCCAAGTAGCCTGTTGGAAAGAATGTGGGATGTATGATGAGGACCAAGAAATGTGAACCAACTCTCATGAGTTGTTGTCAGTTGTGGATGAGAGAAATGTGACCAGGAGACTGAGGGAAGGCATTTATTCCTCTTTACTTGGTGGGACTTCACCTGGAGTACTATGGTTTGATTGCAGGGGAGGCAGCTGAGAGGTTCAGGGGGACTGGAGCAGGTGCACTAGAGGACTACTAAAATGATCAGGCTGTCAGGAGTCCAGCATATGGGAGGCTGGTGGATTATCTAGTAGTAGTCTATAATTACTTGAAAAGTGACTGCAAAGAAGATGGAACCAAGCTGTTCTTGGTTGGATCAGAAGACATAAGTGACAGCATGTTTTCTGTCCTTGGCTGGGCAATAGTATTGTCAGTAGTCCACTTGTGATTGGGAGGTTATACCAGATGACCTCTAGAAGTCCTTTCCAACCTACATTTCCCTGATTCTATAAAAATGAGGTTAAACAGAGAGGATAAGAGACAGGATACTACAGAGTCTGTTACTTCTATTGCTGTTCAGATACTGTGATCATAAATAGGAATTAAGTAAAACAATCCTCATCTCTTTAGATTAGGAAGAGCTTACTGAGCTTTACTGGAGAATTTAATGAATTAGACCAAGAAAAAGAGCAAAAGGTTAATAAAAATATGATTCAGTGTGCTTTGCACAGAATGAAGGTTCCGATGTTTAAGAGCTAAACCTCCTTTTTGTTTCTGCCCTCTTCTTTGTTGCTTGTTTCCATTCCATCATGGCCATGCTGTAGTCCTTACCTATTGCAGAATTCCTGACAAAAACTAGGCACGATGTGGCTGCTCACATAGCATTGCCGTAAGGGAAAAAGTGCATGCAGCTTACCGTTTTCAAAAGTGAGTGAATTTTGGTTCCAGAACACTTCTGTTTTTTTCTTTCCTGCAGTAGTCATAGCTACCTGATTGAGTAACAAAAAGCCCTGATGGTCATAGAATTTTAGCTTCCTTTCATGCCTGTGGCTCTTCTTTCTCAGCTGCCTTGTTGGTGTCTCAAAGAAAATGCATTGGTTGTGAACTCCTTTGTATATTCTCAACTTGTATCAGAATGTCCCATGCCCCATAGAAACCTGCAGGGGTTTTGTTCTGGTGGCTCACTAGAACAATATCATCAGTACCACACAATGCTGTGTGTGCTTAGTCCATGCAAATTCTGCACCCTTTGTTTGGATCTTCATCTTCCTTACTTGATGGAAAAAATTTCCCAGTGTCTTATATTTACAAAAAAAACCCCAAACCACAACAAACCAAGAAACCCCCCCCAACACCCAAAAAAAGCAACAGTACACGAAAAAAGTCCTCATAACAGCTTCTACAAGAGCATCTTCTCTTGCTGGTCCTTCTCTTTAATTTTGTAGGTAGCCTGCTGGTGAGAAGGATACTACACCTCTGGGGAAAATAAAATCAGATTATTTAATTTTCATCCAACTCTAATTTCATTTTTTTTTTTAAGTCATTGTGTCAACAAGGTTTTATGTTACAACCACTGGCCATGTGTGCATGCAACTTGAAGCCTGCCTAGACTTGGAACCTGAGAGGCATTCTAGTGTTTCACAGATTAATCAGAACAACAGTATGCCCTAAACTGCACTTCTTTTAAACACATGAATAGAACTGTGAGTGGAAGGATTGTGAAGGTCAAGTAGAAAAGATGGTCAGTTAACAAAACATAAAGGTGAGATATGCCACAAATACAACAATGGAATATTATAGTTCTTACAGGAATATGTGTAGTGTTATATTTGTATTCTACCACTAACATGTTTAAAAAGATAACTCAAACCCCAGTGTTTGTGGAGCAGCAAAGGCAAATATGTTACCATTTTATCCAAGGAAGGATGGCAGGAGCCTAAAGAGTTGTGAAATAGTACAGAAATATTTTTTTTTTCCTCAACATTTCAGCAAATGCCTTCTACAAAGCCTAGATGTCACCTGTGTTAGCTGGTGAGGGTTAGATGCTAACAGAGGGATGTATCAAGATCTAAAGTCCTTACATGGTGTTTATATCACTGATACTACCCAAAGGGAGAGTGTTCTAAACTTCCTACTTGCTGCACAGGAAACTTTTTCCTGGGCTCCTTCAGACTAGGTAGACAGAAACTCTCTTGCAGAGTGAGCTGAAGCACATTAGCTCTCCTTCCACTCAGAAAAACTCTTCAGGAGAATGCCTCTCTTAATTAGAGAGGTAATTATTTTTCTCTTCCTGTGTATCTTCAATTTACCTGCCATTCCTGGAAAGAGCTTTCCATGTAGTGTACTCTTTCCACTACAAAGCCCACTGGCCAGGGAGGCTCTCTTTAGGGTTGTTTTGTACACTGAAGGGGGGAAGAAAAAAGGTGGTAGAAATGAGAACAAATTTTGAAGCCAGCAGATAAATCACAGAGCTTTCTAGATGAAATTTCTTAAATTTAGTCCCTTCTTAAGGCACTAACCTATGCACTCCAAATAAAGTCAGTCGGATTCAAGTGAGTTTATGGCCAAAAATACAACTCCCAAAACCTCTTTCTCGTTCCTGCTTAAAAAAAAATTCAAATCTGTTTGTCCATAGGTCATCAAGCAGGTCTAGAACTGATCTGTGGGAAAAGCTTGCCCAAGAGGACTTATCATTTGGGTGGATAGGTTTTAATTTGCATAGCAGTTGCCCAAAAGCTATGACATCTGAGCAGGAGTTTATCTCCTGGTTAAGAGTACAGTGCCAGGAGCAGGGCCAAATCCTCCTGGTTTGAGTTTTGTACTTAATTTCTAGTATTTTCTGCTGTATGGCAAGGTCCTCCAAAGTTTTAAATAAACAGAAAAAAATTTAAAAAAAAAAGAAAACACAAAAAACCCTGAACCAAACTTGACTTCTTGCCAGTAATGACCCAAAAAATAGAAAATATATAAGCTTTTTAGCCACTGAG